AATATTTAAATAAAGACTGGGAATTTGACAGACATACGCAATTACATACGTATTGAAAAAATCACATTTACAGACGCAAATACACATCGTGTAAGAACACCTTTAGGAATTTCTTATATTCAATACTTCGATAATACAACTCTGCGTGCCTTAGTAAATTAAATGCAACTTTGGGCCGCGGGAAATACTCGCTTCTTTTTGCCACAGGAAAAAGTCATCTAATGAACCTGCTGCAATCTTTTCCTTGTTAAATAAGCGTCAGTTCGGCAAAATAATAAACAAAAAGCACTTTAAATTGTAGCTAAAGTGTCGCGGCACTTGCGCCCACAGATTTTTGGGCGACAACTGTTTATTTTAGGACCTTAATGTGTGTTTGAAAATTTTGCAAATTTCACCAGAAGAAACTGCGACGTCGATAACGAACGAGGCGATAGAAAAAAACGCATCGTGTCGAGTGCGCCACAGTCGGAGACTCCGGCCTTTAGGGGAGCACCCTTTTGGTAATTTTATAGGTTTTTAATAAAGAAAAATTTTGTTATTGGGAAAAAAAAGTAGACTATAATTATGTCGACTAATGACTCCAAGGCGCCCTTGCGCCAAGTAAAACGGGTGCAGTTCGGTATATTGTCACCTGATGAAATCGTAAGTAGCAGATTTCACATATCCATACCTATGTAAGTGCAACTTCATAATTTTTACTATCTTAGCGTCGAATGTCCGTCACAGAAGGTGGCGTACAGTTTGCTGAGACAATGGAAGGTGGCCGACCCAAATTGGGTGGTCTAATGGACCCGCGTCAAGGTGTAATCGATCGAACGTCTCGTTGTCAAACATGCGCTGGCAATATGACGGAGTGCCCCGGACATTTTGGACATATCGACTTGTCCAAACCAGTTTTTCACATTGGTTTTATAACAAAGACTATAAAGATATTGCGTTGTGTGTGCTTTTACTGCTCTAAAATGTTAGTATCGCCACAAAATCCAAAAATAAAGGAGATTGTGATGAAATCGAAGGGACAGCCACGTAAGCGTCTGGCATATGTGTACGATTTATGTAAGGGTAAAACTGTGTGCGAGGGTGGAGAGGATATGGATATGGCAAAAGATGGACAACAGGCGGATCCCAATAAAAAGCAAGGCCACGGTGGCTGTGGTCATTATCAACCATCACTTAGACGTAGCGGGTTAGAGTTAACGGCTGAATGGAAGCATGTAAATGAGGACTCGCAGGTGATCATGAGAAAATGCATAAACCTAAATTTTCTTAATAAAATATGCATTTTTCTCAATAAAATAGGAAAAGAAAATTGTAGTTTCTGCAGAGCGTGTTTGGGAAATCCTGAAACACATAACAGATGAAGAATGTTTCATTCTGGGCATGGATCCCAAATATGCTCGTCCCGATTGGATGATTGTAACTGTGTTACCCGTTCCACCACTATCGGTACGACCGGCAGTCGTTATGTTTGGTGCAGCTAAGAATCAGGACGATTTAACACACAAGTTGGCTGATATTATTAAAGCCAATAATGAATTGAAGAAGAACGAGGGCACAGGCGCAGCAGCGCATGTTATTCAAGAGAATATAAAAATGCTGCAATTCCATGTCGCAACGTTGGTGGACAACGACATGCCTGGTATGCCCCGTGCTATGCAAAAATCTGGAAAACCACTCAAAGCTCTTAAAGCGCGCTTGAAGGGCAAAGAAGGTCGTATTCGTGGCAATTTGATGGGTAAGCGTGTCGACTTCTCGGCACGTACTGTCATCACACCAGATCCCAACTTGCGTATTGACCAAGTCGGTGTGCCGCGTTCCATTGCACAAAATCTAACATTTCCAGAACTGGTGACGCCTTTTAATATCGATCGTATGCAGGAGCTAGTACGTCGAGGTAATTCACAATACCCTGGTGCAAAATACATTGTACGTGATAACGGCGAACGTATAGATTTACGTTTCCATCCCAAGCCATCAGATTTGCATTTACAATGTGGCTACAAAGTAGAAAGGCATTTACGTGATGACGATTTGGTTATTTTCAATCGTCAGCCAACTTTGCATAAAATGAGTATGATGGGCCATCGTGTAAAAGTATTGCCCTGGTCTACATTCCGTATGAATTTATCCTGTACTTCACCTTACAATGCTGATTTTGACGGCGACGAAATGAACTTGCATGTACCACAATCTATGGAAACGCGCGCTGAGGTTGAAAATATTCATATTACCCCTCGTCAGATTATCACACCACAGGTTTTTATATTTTGAATTTATATACTTAACAGGAAGTCTATATAATACATATGTATGTGTTTTGTGTTTTAGGCTAACAAACCCGTCATGGGTATTGTGCAGGATACCCTTACAGCTGTACGTAAAATGACAAAGCGTGATGTATTTATCACACGCGAACAGATGATGAACTTGCTTATGTTCTTACCCACATGGGATGGCAAAGTGCCACAGCCATGTATTTTGAAACCGCGTCCCCTTTGGACGGGCAAACAACTCTTCTCATTGATTATTCCTGGCAACGTGAATATGATACGTACACATTCTACCCATCCAGACGACGAGGATGAAGGTCCATACAAATGGATCTCACCCGGTGACACAAAAGTAATGGTCGAACATGGTGAATTGATCATGGGTATTCTATGTAAAAAGACACTAGGTACTTCTGCTGGATCCTTGCTGCATATTTGTTTCTTAGAATTGGGTCATGAAATCGCTGGTCGTTTCTACGGCAACATTCAAACTGTAATTAATAATTGGTTATTGCTCGAAGGCCACAGCATTGGTATTGGTGACACAATTGCCGATCCTCAGACATATACAGAAATTCAGACAGCCATCAAAAAGGCCAAAGACGATGTCATAAACGTTATTCAAAAAGCGCACAACATGGAATTGGAGCCAACACCAGGTATGTGAATTGAATGTGTTCCCTCCACAACTAATTTACTATTGCTATTTCTTGCTCAAAGGTAATACCTTGCGTCAAACTTTCGAGAATCAAGTAAATCGTATTCTAAATGATGCTCGTGACAAAACTGGTGGATCAGCTAAGAAATCGCTGACAGAATATAATAACTTAAAGGCTATGGTGGTGTCGGGTTCTAAAGGTTCCAACATTAATATCTCACAGGTTATTGCTTGTGTGGGTCAACAGAACGTCGAGGGTAAACGTATACCATACGGTTTCCGTAAGCGCACATTGCCACATTTCATTAAAGACGATTACGGTCCTGAGTCGCGTGGCTTCGTCGAAAATTCGTATCTCGCCGGCTTAACACCTTCAGAATTCTATTTCCACGCTATGGGTGGTCGTGAAGGTCTTATCGATACTGCTGTCAAAACTGCTGAAACTGGTTATATTCAACGTCGTCTCATAAAGGCTATGGAGTCTGTTATGGTTAACTATGATGGTACGGTGCGTAATTCTGTGGGTCAGCTAATTCAGTTGCGTTACGGCGAGGACGGTTTGGCTGGTGAAACAGTAGAGTTTCAGAATTTGCCAACTGTCAAATTATCTAATAAAGCATTTGAGAAGCGATTCAGATTTGATTGGTCTAATGAGCGTTATATGCGCAAAGTTTTCACGGATGAGGTGATCAAAGAGCTGAGTGAGAGCGGTAATGCGTTGCCAGAGTTGGAAATCGAGTGGGATCAGTTATGTCACGATCGTCAAGCCTTGCGTGAAATTTTCCCCAATGGCGACTCAAAGGTAGAATTTGTAATATTTTTTTTTTTATTGAACCAATATTTTATTCCATCTTTTGCCCTTTTAGGTAGTACTACCGTGTAACTTGCAGCGTATGATTTGGAATGTGCAGAAAATTTTCCACATTAACAAACGCTTGCCAACAGATCTCTCGCCTTTGCGTGTTATTAATGGCGTGCGTGATTTACTGCAACGCTGCGTTATAGTGGTGGGCAATGATCGTCTCTCCAAACAGGCCAACGAGAACGCCACGTTGCTGTTTCAATGTTTAGTTCGTTCCACACTTTGTACTAAATATGTAGCAGAAGAGTTTCGTCTGTCAACAGAAGCCTTCGAATGGTTGATTGGTGAAATTGAGACACGCTTCCAACAAGCGCAGGCAAATCCCGGCGAGATGGTAGGCGCTTTGGCTGCGCAGAGTTTGGGTGAACCCGCTACACAGGTATGGTGGCGAACAGAAATAAATTCATTGCATGTTTTTTAAATATTAAAATTTAATTATTTGCACTTTTCAGATGACACTGAACACTTTCCATTTTGCTGGTGTGTCTTCGAAGAACGTAACATTGGGTGTGCCGCGTCTAAAAGAAATTATCAACATATCCAAGAAACCAAAGGCGCCTTCTCTAACTGTATTCCTGACAGGTGGTGCGGCGCGTGATGCAGAAAAGGCAAAGAATGTATTGTGTCGATTGGAACATACCACGCTACGCAAGGTTACTGCTAATACAGCAATTTACTATGATCCTGATCCCCAAAGAACAGTAATATCTGAGGATCAGGAATTCGTCAACGTCTATTACGAGATGCCTGATTTTGATCCGACACGTATTTCGCCATGGTTGCTGCGTATTGAATTGGATCGTAAACGTATGACTGATAAGAAATTGACTATGGAACAAATCGCAGAAAAGATTAACGCCGGCTTTGGTGACGATTTGAATTGTATTTTCAATGACGATAACGCCGACAAATTGGTGCTACGTATACGTATAATGAACAATGAAGAAACTAAGTTCCAAGATGAGGACGAGGCTGTCGATAAAATGGAGGACGATATGTTCTTGCGTTGCATTGAAGCAAACATGCTTTCAGACATGACATTGCAGGGCATCGAAGCCATTGGCAAGGTGTATATGCATTTGCCGCAAACGGACAGCAAAAAGCGTATAGTCATAACGGAGACAGGAGAATTCAAGGCCATTGGAGAATGGTTATTGGAAACTGATGGTACTTCAATGATGAAAGTACTCTCTGAACGCGATGTGGATCCGGTGCGTACATCGTCTAACGATATTTGTGAGATTTTCCAAGTGTTGGGTATCGAAGCTGTGCGTAAGTCAGTTGAAAAAGAAATGAACGCTGTTCTACAGTTCTATGGCTTGTACGTGAACTATCGTCATTTGGCCTTGTTGTGTGACGTAATGACGGCTAAGGGCCATTTGATGGCTATTACTCGCCACGGTATTAACCGGCAGGACACTGGTGCACTTATGCGTTGCTCATTCGAAGAAACCGTTGATGTGTTAATGGACGCTGCAGCGCATGCGGAGACGGATCCGATGAGAGGTGTGTCCGAGAACATTATTATGGGCCAGCTGCCGCGTATGGGCACCGGTGAGTAAACAAAAAATTATATTTATGCAATTGCTTTTTATTTGACTTTATCACTTTAAGGTTGCTTTGATCTGCTACTGGATGCAGAAAAGTGTCGTTACGGCATCGAAATCCCCAGCACATTGGGATCAAGCATGATTGGTGGTTCGGCAATGTTCTTCGGTGCTGGCTCTACACCAAGCATGACACCACCAATGACTCCGTGGGTACAGTGTGGCACTCCGCGTTATTTCTCGCCATCTGGACAAAGTATGTTCCCATATTTATATACATAGTTTGAAATTCTATCTAATATGTAACTTTTATTTATAGTGGCCGGCATGACACCTGGTGGCCCCAGTTTTTCACCATCAGCTGCTTCTGATGCATCTGGCATGTCGCCTAGTTGGTCTCCTGCCCATCCTGGCTCATCACCCAGCTCGCCAGGTCCTTCGATGTCACCATATCTACCACCGTCGCCCAGTGTTTCCCCATCGTACTCGCCCACTAGTCCGAATTATACCGCTTCGTCACCGGGCGCAGCTTCTCCGAATTACTCACCAACAAGTCCTAATTATTCGCCCACAAGCCCACTTTATCCGGCCACAAGTCCACGTTATTCAACTACACCGAATTTTGCACCACAATCAACCGGTTACTCACCGTCAACTAGCGGTTATTCGCCCACTTCTCCCGTCTATTCGCCCACTTCGAACTATCAGTCGTCCAGTCCGTCTTTCTCAGGCAGTGGCACAAACATGTATTCGCCTGGTAGTGCTTATTCACCAACTTCATCCAATTACTCGCCGAATTCGCCAAGTTATTCGCCAACATCACCATCTTACTCTCCTTCGAGCCCATCGTACTCGCCAACTTCACCTTGCTATTCGCCAACATCTCCTTCGTACTCGCCTTCGTCACCAAACTATACACCCGTTACACCATCTTATTCGCCTACTTCTCCCAATTATTCGGCCTCACCACACTATTCACCCGCTTCGCCTGCATACTCGCAAACCGGTGTCAAATATTCACCCACTTCACCAACTTATTCACCACCTTCGCCATCGTATGATGGCTCTCCGGGTTCACCACAATATACACCGGGTTCGCCGCAGTACTCGCCGGCTTCACCGAAATATTCGCCAACATCGCCACTTTATTCTCCGAGCTCGCCGCAACATTCACCGGCCAATCAATACAGTCCAACTGGATCTAGCTACTCGGCTACAAGTCCACGCTACTCACCCAATATGTCGATCTATTCGCCTAGTAGCACTAAATATTCACCAACATCTCCAACGTACACGCCCACAGCTAGAAACTATTCACCAACATCGCCGATGTATTCACCAACGGCGCCCTCACAAGGCTACAGTCCAACCAGTCCAGCATATTCGCCGAGTAGTCCAACTTTTGAGGAAAGCGATGATTAAGAAAGTCGTCTGTAAAGACTTTTGAGGCGTTTAAAGTAGTTGGCACAATGCCATACCCGCAAAAATATTCTATTTGATATCCATATAAAAATATTTGTATAGCATTTAAGACTAATCGTTCGATTTCAATGTATAATCAAATTATAATTGTATTGCAATCATTTGTAATAAAGCGTAAATTTGAGAGAGAAAGCTCTCTTAAATCGCACATCAAGTTTTCTTATTTTTGGGGGGGAGGAGGGGGTTAGCGAAATTGATTCCGATGAACAAACGGGCATAGGTTTTTCAATTGAGTGCGAACTAGGGAAGCCAATTCGCGGGGAATTCCCCGATTTGCGGGGCATTTCAGTTTGCGTGGGGAATCGGGGGAAAGGACCATTTTTTTGTGGGGAATTTTAGTTTGCGTGAAGGATCGGGGGATGAACGGCTTTTTTGTGAGGAATTAGGTGTTAACTATTTTTTCTTTTTGGCCTCACTAATTTCATAATGAGTTAAAAAAGTTGCATAAAAAAAGTGGCTGCAACTAAAAGTACTGATTATGTATGATTTTTTAGAAATTTCTTTGTCGCATTTGTTTCAATATAACGAATAAACACAATTTATTTTTATATGGAAGAAAACTGCAACACCTCCGGGGAAAAGATTTAAATTTTTTTTTTTTTAATATTGCACACAGTTTGATGCTTGGATTTATCAAATTAAATAACAAAAAAACAATAATAATTGTGAAAACTGGTCAAAACTTGGGTTTTTTTCGACCACTGTATGTATGTAAATATTAGATGCACATTTTGTATTCTTTATTTGTTAACTAACTTTATAAACGTTTAGTTCGAGTTATGAACACATATGCAGGTAAATTACATTTAAAAATAAAATAAACAGAAAGACCAGCAATATATCAAATTACAAAATTTTGTAATTTGTAAAAATGGAGATATCTATGGGTCTATCTATTTTACGAAATTTCGGGCAAATCGGGGAATTTCTTTGTCGAAATCGGGGAATTCTCAAAAATGAGTTGGCTACCCTGGTGGTGGTTCAGTTTAGCGGCTGTTTTTGCTGCTTAGAGTTGTGGCCTAATATTATACCCGATCAGTCGGTCTCGTCGAAACAACTGGGCTAGTAGTTTCCACGGGGTCTCAGGTGGTATTAAAACCATTCAAGGTAATAATTCTCGAAAGGAACATTTGCAGAGATATACAACCCAATTTTGAATACTCCCGGAGAGTTTGTTCTCCGGGAATTTGTTTCTCCCAAGAAAGAAATCCTCCAATAATTAACTCTCAGGGCACTTTCCCCGAAAATTTGGGAGGAGAAAATTCGAACTTCGAAAGAGCTGTTTGACACTTTTTTGACAGCTCAACTCCGCCATTTAAAATAAAAAATCCTCAGGGAATTTTAATCCATGATAGGAGGAAAGGGAAAAGAGAGAAAACTCTCAGGGAGTTTCTGTTCATAATCGGTTGCGATCCGCATGGATCTCATCAGATTGGCACTGCCATAATAATCGAGTGTGAAGGTTGAGATTCGTGCGAATGACATCCTTCGGACCGTAATAGGCATGTATGGATGGGATTCGTCGGATACCGTATTAGGCATGATACTCCCAACGATTGGCAAAGGCTCGCAAGTTTGAAATAGTGATGAATCCGCACTCGAAGACGACAGTACTGGGTCTGAAGCTATTGGACCTGTGTTCAAACCTTAAGCCGGTAAGATGGATTGCGGTGTAGGGGCAGGGATCTATTCCAAGAAGCTTTTTTTCAAATATCAACACATCTTAATTCAACTTGGAATGACGCTCGTACCTTTTCTGTCATACTTTGAATGAGTTAATTTGCAAAGAAATAAAAATGGTGAGAAAATGCCTTTCGAATGATACCTCATAAGCAGCGTTGCCGCTTTGGTAATTTTTAACCAAAATTGGTAATTTTTTTCTTTATTTATCAAGTTTGGTAATTTGGTAATTTATTTTTCAATTTGGTAACTTTTTCAATTCGGTTTTACATATCAAATAGGTCAATATTGGTTCTGATTCCACATTAGTAAGTGGACCGTAAGCGTTCCCTTTAATAGAAATACCAGGTAATCCTGAAAGTTTGGCAAGGCGAAAGTTGTTCCAGCATTCCTTGGCTACTACAATGGTGTGTTCTTTAACAAACTGCTTGAAAGTGGCTTTTGCTAAGTATATCCACCGTGTCCTTTCCTGGAAGGTTTTGGGTGGTCCTACCTTTCCCTGTCAGTTCGTCAGCTTTTCAATTACAATACTTACATACATATGTTCTCGTTCAAAAAGCTACGGCATTCAGCGGGGCTTCACTCTGTCTATGTGTGAGTCGAAAGCTTTCCTTCAAGCGTTGAATTTTTGATATATTTTCTTGTCACTTGTTTACATACAGTGGTCGAAAAAGTTATAGCCGCACCATATTTTGACAAGTTTTAACATATTATTTTTTTTAGTACCTTAATTTTGGTTATTTTTTATAAAAATATTTTTCTTTCTTTAACAGAGCTCTAACAAATTCAAACTTTGTTCAATATTTAAAAAAATTCAACAAACTTTCGTAAAAATTTTAGGTTAATAGAGCGCTGATTACCTGAAAAGCTTGGTATCTTTGGATATACATATATATCGAGCCCTAACTGCCAAAATAACGTAAGCTAAATTTTTTTCAAAATTTTCTTTTTGATGCTCTAGGAACATCCGCATCAAAAAGAAAAGTAAAAAAAATGTCGGTTACGTTATTATGGCGCTTAGGGCTCGATATGTATGTTTGTACAGTTCTGCACATAAAATAAGTTTGGTAATTTTTTGTTGAATTTGGTAACTATTTCCGAGGATTTTGGTAAAAAATAAAAATATTTTGTGGCAACACTGCTCATAAGTGTAAAGGGGTAAAGTTTCGGCGGAGTTATTCAAAAAAGTTCAAAAACAGCATAAAAAGTTTCGAAATTTGTTGAAAATATTTTAATGCAAATTTTTTAAGCTTAAAATTTTTTGTCATCTGAGTTGATTTTTTTTCAAAAATTATTTTAAAAAACCTATTTTTATTCATAAAACAATACATTTTTGGAGGTATTTAACAAATCGGTCCAGCCCACGTCTTAGCGCAAGTCTTAAACTATAATTAATACTATCACAGAATCCATCAAAGTATACACAACGTTCGTAGCAATTCGTATTCAGTGATCGCATATTCGTAGATTTCACGAAAGATTTTATAATTCCAATGGAAAAACCGTACCGATTTTTTTTGAGCGTGGATTGCTGCAGTCTAATATACATAGAATCAGTTAAAATGACATTTTCAGGATCGAATAAGGCCCAACCAATGCTTCAATTAAATTGCAATGATTTTTGTAAATTTTATTTGTTAAAATTTATTATAGTTATGTATGTACATACATATATTTTTATTAATGTACTTAGTTACATAAACATAGATAATTGTTATATATAAATATCAGGGCTGCAAATCGGTTTTGAACTGAACCGGTTTTTGAACCGAACCGTCGTTTTTTCCGGGCTTCGAACCGAACCGTTTTTATTTTGAAATGTCAACACCGATTCGAAAACCACTCCAAAAAAATGGTTCGGTTCGGTTCAAATAGAAAATCTCCCATAGTGTTTTTCAAGTTTTGTAATAAATATCTTTGTCTAAAAACCCGTATTCAAAAAAAAAAAATTTGTTTGATGGCAACTCTGTGAGTTGTAATTTCGCCCATATAAAGAATACTTAAAATGTTTTTATATGGAAGAAAATATTACACTAAAATTGAAGGAGCTATAAAACAGCATACTCGGATTTTTGTTTAGTTCTGATACAAAATTTGTATACTTTGCATTTGGATGAAATTTGTAGATTTTTTCTAATTTTCGCACAAAGTTTTAAATTTCGATTTATATGGTTGCTGTTATACTTTTATGAAAAATTAATGAACATTAAACCAAATCAAGAAAAATAGTCAAATGTCGAACACCTATTATTTTGACTGCGTATCGTCGTTCTGCAAAATCCACGTAACTAACATTTTTTGGCAAAAAATTGGATTTGCTCACACAAGCTCTTGGCTCAATCCTTATGAGTATTATTGAGTGAAAAATTGCCAAAAACCAACCTAAAATTTAAAAATGTGTCCTAGAATTTTTTATTAAAAATTTGCGATTTAGATAAAACTTTTCAGAATTTTCATAATTTGCACAAAATTCGAAAGATAGACTTATGTGTTTAAAAAAAATAAACAAACGAAAAATATCCAAAGCTTGCTAAAATGATGCGCCCCATTTGTTTTTCCACCATAATTAATGTGGATATTAGGATTTGATTTCAGTAACAAAGCCTGTTATTTTTAACCGACTTCCAAAAAATGACGAGGTTATTAGTTCGTCGTAATTTTAAATTTTTTTGTTTGTTTTTATGTATGTTACTGCATAACTTTGGACTAATCTGATTTAGATCCGATCATTGGATCTTGAAATATATATAGATATATATATACATATATATTTTTTTAGGTCGGTTTTGTTTTTTGCTTAAAAATTACTTATTATATTATAGGTTTGTCAAATTTTGCCAAATTTTTTTTTTTTTTTGCACAACAAAATTGAACCATTTGAACCGAACCGAAAACTGCGGTTCAGGGATACTCATGAAGCGGTTGTTGTACCGGTACAACCATTTTCTACGTGGTTCAAACCACTGAACCGAACCGCACCTATTTTTGGTGTGGTTTGCAGTCCTGATAAATATGCATTACAAAATTAAGAGCGCGTTTTACTATCTCAGAACTTGTGCGATCTTAATTAAATTGTACATAAAATATATGAATGTATGCATGTGGGTATACAGTGTATACTATACATATTCGTGGTCCAAGGTGTGATAGCTTTGCTCAGGCAGCCAGCGGACATATCTAGACGACACTCAGAAAACCTTTTCTTGGAAATGTCGAAATTGTGTTTTTACTGGGACGACATTGAGCATAAGCTTCCCATTCGTCTATAAAATATAATGAGATCCCCCACTAAGCAAATATTTAGTTTTTGCAGATGATATAAATTTCTCCTGTTCGATCCCTTCAACCAATGTCCCCTACGTAAGCACTTTAGTTGAAGTAGTGCGGTTCTCTCATAGCTGTTATTTTCCTTCTGAGCTTTTTTTTATATTTTCGACTGCTAACAAAGTTGGTGTGGTAATTGCCGCT